GACAGACAGACAGACAGACAGACAGACAGACAGACAGACAGACAGACAGACAGACAGACAGACAGACAGACAGACAGACAGACAAATAATAATTTATCGAAATGCCTGAAGCTGATTTTTTCACATAGTCTGGTTATTGACTACAATCTGGACGGAAGCAGCGGCAAAAAATTTCTAAAAGCATTCAAACGGCTATATGCGGTGCTTAATGGTCAGTGAGCAATTATTGGAATATTAAATACAAATTTTAATACTTTTTTTTTAATTTTTTCAGGAGCGTTGACCCACCATTCCGAAGACCCGGACAAGTACCTTAGAAAGGCCTTGGTTAATATTAAAAATAAATTAGTAAAACAAAAATCTAGAAATAATATTAATTTCAATAATTTAAATAACACAATTAAAAAAAATAAATAAGAAATACAAATGAGTAAAATGAAATACATAAATTGAAATAAATAAAATTAAATAAATGAATTAAAAATATATGATGACACTTTGGAAAAAGTCACTCGTGAAATCATGCGTGACATGTCACAGGGTGGTGACGTCTCATATGACAAATTTGTATAAAGCACTGGTGATATCACCGGTGACTTCGAAGAAATTGTCATTTGAGCTGTCACTATGGTACGGGGTAGGACATCTCAAACAAATGTCTCTATGGAAAGTCACGAGTGATCACGAGGGACAAATGACATGTCACGAGTGATTCACCCGGTGATTCACGAGTGAAAACTGATTTCTGGAACTGAAGGGTAGCTTTAAAACTGAGAGACTAGTTTGCGTAGAAACAGACAGACGGACATGGCTAGATCGACTCGTCGATGCTGATCAAGAATATACAGTCTGTCCGTCTATACGTTTCTATGCGAATTAGTCCCTCAGTTTTAAAGTTATCGCTATGAAACTTTCCCAAAAGTCTTTTATCTATTGCAGGTAGTACATATGTCGGAACGAGCTGGATCGGACCACTATATCTTATGGCTCCCCTAGGAATAATCAAAAAAATAATAGAAAAACCATTGTAACTTTGTAGAAAGTAGTCGTTTTGATTTTTGGCAATGTAAATACAACATTTTAAGTAGGCATACCTGCAAGGGTATAAGTTGACTAAGTAGCTAACCGGACGGAGGCGATGACCGAATGTCCGAAGCCCAGCAGCGGCCAAAAACGCTGACGCGGAAATTTGGTCGGATGCTCGTGCATAGCCGGCAAATACAGCATATTTGCGTGCCCGCTATGAATTTCATTTTCTGTCAACTTTAAGTTTAGTTCGCTTCAAGCTTTGTACGAATAAAGAACACAAGTTCTATAGCATTGCAAAACTCCGGCAACCTCCGTTAAATATCTCTTATTATTTTGCACTGACTGAGTCTCTAGGCCAGCAGGCGAAGGGGCCAGTTACCTCCCAACATAATCAGCAATTGTGAAGGTGTAGCCATCCGGCTCTGACTGCAGCGAGGGATCCCCGATCTCCACATACGAGAACCAAGTTAAGTCCCTCCCCTCCCCCGCACTACCAAACGGGCATCAGCAGGTGCGACCAGCGGTAAACAAATTCCTCCCGCGTTTACAGGAGGCAATTACAAGCAGCAGCTTCCAGCGGCCTACCCCCACGCGTGGGTGCTAACGCATCCCCCCGCAGCTACCCGAGGCAACCACTAGCTGCTGGTCGCTAATCAGCCATAACGGGTGCTCCCAGAAGCGACCGCTTCCCCCGCGCCTACAAGCGGGCATCCCTAAGAAGACCACCCTAGACAGTGCGGCCGTCGAGGACCACCTCAGGCCGCGCCCATCAACGAGATTAATTTATATAAACTTCGGCTGGCCGAAGTTAACTTCCTTTCTTGTTGTCCTTAAAGTTATTAAGGAAATATTAATTGAAATACATTTGAAAAACTTTTTACTTACTTTGACTTATCCGGTTTTTGAACCGGGGTGCTCTCGCATCAGAGGCAGACGCCTTACCAACTGGGCCATCGCACCATGTCACGCGCGAGTGCATAAGTTTAACTTAAATCTAAACTTACTGGTCTTAAATCAATACCCTATGGTACCAATATAAGAATATGGTCTTAAAAAAATAAAAGAACAAAACGGTCTTAGATTTTTTCGGTCTTTTTTTTCTGGGGGTATGTTTAAAAATAATTTAAAAAATAATCTGGCCTGTTCCAGTTTTCACTCGGAAGTGAATTTGATTTCATGCTGGCGGTTTTAGGTCCGCCTGTCAAATGCTTGGGTGAAAGTTTCCTATGGTCTATGGACTTGCTTTACTGGCAATTTTTTCTATATTTCTGCAAAATTTCTTAAATTTAATAAATTTTGATTTATTTGAAGAAAATTTTTTTTACCTGCATAAAATTTTTTTATTTTAAAGAAAAAATCGCCAGTGATGCAAATCCATAGGCGATTTTTTTAAATTCAGGGCGATTAATTTTTTGAGTGCAGAGTAACAAAGAGGGATTTTTGAATCCTTGCATTTCTTTCGGAAGTGAGACCTGGAACAGGTCTGAGAAATTCGATTCCGTGGAATCTTTCAAAAGTGAAAACTAGAACAGGGCCGAATAAATTTTGTTTTCCCCAAGCAAGAATATTATTTTTGGGTTGCTGTAAAACTAAGCTTTCGATTGGTAAAGTTTCAGAAGCTTATGACCAAATGGCAGATCAAAAACAAAGGGCGTACAAAACTACAGAGCCTTCGCTACGACATATTTAGCATTTTATCGAGATATAATTCATATTCCCTTCCATAAAAAATTCATATTTTGGGTATGCCGGTGTGGCGTTAGCAACAGCTAAGGTTGGGCGGGTTTTTATTCGGATATTAACTTGAATTTTACAGACGTCTGAATTATCAAAAATTAAGTTGCTATTGCAATAAATGCTAGCAGTATTGCTAGCAGAGAACGGGGGTGAACTTCAGTTAAGCTCGTAATAGCCTTGTTACGAGCGCCGGTTATGGCGGGAGGAGAGGAAAGAAGTGGGTCAGTTAGCTAGAGCAAAGGGAAATGAGTACCTGTTGGAAACACTTAGGTACAAAAATAAGAACCCGGAAGCAAAAAGAAAAGCTCTAGCTACAGAATAAAGAAGAACTAAAACTCCACGGAGAGGAAGTCTGATTCTCAGATACGGCCGGCAATAATACCAGTCGCGCACGATGAATATTCAAGACAGAATCAGGTCGCATACCGCCGGTAGCCGCTAGTTCCGAGGGAGGAGGATTTTCTCCACGGGCTTCGGGCATCTGCCCGCGGAGCCCAATGTATCCCGTTTTCCTCTTCTACTGTCCTCGATAAGGAGACGTCTATCGATCAGCAAGGATCTGAAGAGTCGGACACCGCCGCCAATTTCACCAAAACATGGAAGAAGGGGTCAAGAACGATAACATAACTTTCGACTGACGACCGCCTCTAGATGCCTGTAAAATATTTTAGGGCACATATTTTTCCTTGTATTTTTTAAGCCTGTTCACCGCATCAAGTTGGTTGGGAATAGAGGTGAACAAATTACTTCAATGACTCATAGGCTTTGATTAAATCAAATTACGATGGAAGCAATTTTTTGGTATAGGTTTTATTTATTTGAGCACAGACACTCGAAGATATATTAAATCAAAACATTAAATGTTGCTATTTTTTTCAAACCGCGATTGCCCAAATACCACCCGTTAAACGCGAAAACTAAGTATGCAGATATGCTTATATACGTCTATATTAACATATTTTAATGCCAATAGGCCTGCACCTTTTAATAAAGTCCATTTTGTTGACCTGTGTAATTTTTGAATTCCAGAATTTTTTCCGACCTGCCAAAATCAAAAATAAAAACAAGAGAGAACGCTCTAGTCGGGTTGGTGTCCAGACTATCTAATACCCGTCACTCGGCTAAAGGGAGTGCGAATGAGGATGGATATATACAATTTTTTTGATTGCGCATAACTTTTTAATGAATGGTCCGATTTAAAAAATGTCTTCTACATTTCCATAGGTATAAATATACACAACAAAATTGCATTTATACTTCTCGGAAATCTTGAAAGGTGTGGGCGCCAGACATTTTTTATTTCATGTATTTCACCTGCCACAGTTGCCATTAGGGAGACCTGCCAGGACTGGTGAATACCCTAAATATTAATTTCCTCATATAACAACACAGGCAGGGATATAATCTAAATTAAACGCGTTTCTATACATAATTCTTCTGGATTGAGCAGCATACCTCACAAGTGATTGGTGTAGATTTCCCTTATGAGTATTAAGTGGGGCGCTTACTTACGGAAAGTTCCTACTAGATAGCTCTGTATAACCTCCTACCATTCAGCTTTCATACGAAGTTAAAGTTTTTACCAATAAGTAAAAAATAATTTATTATAAAATATTATTAATCACTTTTATAATATATAATTTACAAAATATTGTCTATATTTATAATTTTTTAAGCAGCGCCCAACAAATTAAAAATTGTAAATATGCCATGTGTGGTTCCGATTTAGTATTTTAAAAAAAATAATATAATACATGAAGAAATGCCTCGACTATCAGATACCCGTTACTCTATACACCAATTTGAAAATAAAATTCCGGGGACTTTATAAAAAGCACACACTAGCGAAGCGAGCACCGCATGCGGAGGGAATTGGTACTATAACTTTTAAAATAATACTGCGATTTGTACGATATTCGGCATGTATATAAGCATTGAGATTGTTCGTCAGTGAGAATATGGTATTCTGGGCTTTTAAAAAAAAAAAAAATAAACATTTTCATTCTAGCATAAAAACTGTAAGGCCTCGTTTTTTGCGATTTGTGGGCCTTATAGCTTTTGAACTTTTCGAGACCTCACCGATCATAAGGACAGACGGACATGGCTAGATCGACTCTGATAGTGATAATGATTAAGAATATATGTTTGTATTTCATCTCCTTTTTCAGATATACTCCTTCTAACGGATTCGTAGAGTGATCGAGTAACGGGTATGAAGATACATTTTTAGGTAATATAAATGTTTTGTTGGTGTTTATTGTACTTAAAAATTATTACACGAGAAAAAATGTCTTTTTAATGTAATGAAGTAATTAATAAAAATTTTCAGTTACATAAGTGCAGAACGATTGATTAACAAGAAAATTCACATGCAGCAAGGCAATTTGTATAAACAATATTCGGTCAATAGCAGTTGATAATAATACACAAAATTGCTTAATATGCTAAAGCGATATCTCATTTCCTTGGTAATCTTCTAGATTTGTGACATTTTGTGACAGTTTTTAACTGTACAGTTATGAAGTTATATTATGCAGCTCCACCACGTGAATTTATTTAGGACTAGTTAAAGATTAATTCAACTAGAAAGTTTTAAGCATATATATGGATTTTTTATGATGTATAAGTTTGAGTATGCTTCTGTGAATTACGCTTGTGAGTGAGTGTTAATTTAAAATACATATGTAACTAGAAATCAGGAGTGATTATTCGCAGTGAGCTCTATTTATTTTTTGTGTCGTCGATCATTACCGGTAGATCGCTGGCCGCCGCGGCCATAGCCTCACGACGCTGACGTTTCATTTCCATCAATTGTTTTCTTTGGGACTCGCGCTTTAATGCCGCTGCCGAATTTGGTGGAAGAGCTCTGGATCCATTTACACTACTGTTGTTCATCTTCCCGCTTGATTTTCCTTTCAAGACGCCAATCTTTGCGGATTGTGTCTTTCTAGTTGATATGGGGATCACATTAACCGACTCAGGGATGCGCTGCGTAAAACACAATACTAGAAATTATAAAAAGCCACAAATAGATTGTTCAACTCTAACCTTCCACTCGTTATCTTTTAAGTGCTCAATATCAGCGAAAATAGAATCCACATGTTCCACCTGCAAATAAACCATGTCCCAGAATCCTTGTAAATCGTCAACTGTTGTTGGAAACTCATCCTCCGGGGAGCGATTCAGATTGTTGTGGCAAAGGCCTAGAATATGAAAATCATTAACGTGATGCGGATTCTTATTTTAGCTTAGCCCACCCTCGAATTGTTTCATTTTCTGCGAGACCAAAAGGCGGGCTTTACCGGACGCCGACCGCAATAGCCCAAAGGTGTCTTCTGTGATGTCCGGATTCGTCTGTGTAATACAACGGAAAAAATAATAACAACATGAAAGGAAGCTAGCTTTGGCAAACCAAAAATTATATACTAATTTATAATTAATAAATATAATGCAATAAAAAAAATAGCTTAGATGCCCTTCTACATAATTGCATTGAAGTCTTAATTTGAGTCAATCAAAGCCTATAAACCATTTAATTAATTTGTTCACCTCTATTCACAAGCACCTTGATGCGGCGAACAGGTTTAAAACAAGAAAGGAAGCTAGCTTCGGCAAACCGAAGCTTATATACCCTTGCAGATCATTCTATTAATTTACAAATCGCAAAAATGTTAAATTTCTTATTATTTCACATTAATTTTTCGATCGTTTCTATCACAGCTATATGATATAGTAGTTCGATCTTTTAAAAATTAAAATCGAAGTTCGGAAATATTTCAAAATAGTCATATCCCAGAGAAGAAGGGAATGTAATAAAAACCAACAAAGATATAATTTTTTCCCATTAATTTCCATTTAATTTTTCGACCGTTCCTATGGCAGCTATATGATATAGTGATCCGATTTAAAAAACAAAAAAACCGAAATTCAGAAATATAAAGAAAAAAATATTCCCAAGAGGAGAAGGTAAAATTTAAAAAAACACCGGAGCTAGAATTTTTTTACGTTTCTTTTTTTTTAATCCTTCCTATGGGAGCTATAAGATATAGTTGTCCGATCCGGTTGGTTCCGACATATATACTACCTGCAATAGAAATACGACTTCTACGAAAGTTTCATCCCGATAGCTTTAAAACTGAGAGACTAGTTTGCGTAGAAACGGACGGACAGACGGACAGACGGACGGACAGACGGACGGACAGACGGACGGACAGACGGACAGACGGACATGGCTAGATCGACTCGTCTTGTGATGCTGATCAAGAATATATATACTTTATGGGGTCGGAAATGTCTCCTTCACTGCGTTGCAAACTTCTGACTGAAATCATAATACCCTCTGCAAGGGTATAAAAATACAAGGAAAAATATGTGCCTTAAAATATTTTACAGGCATCTATATGCGTCATTCACCGATCTAAGATATCTTCGATGGTCTGTGCTCAATTATAAACAAACCTTTAACAAACAAAAGAGAACGCTATAGTCGGGATGGTGTCCCGAATATTTAATACCCGTCACTCAGATAAAGGGAGTGCGAGGGAGATAGATATATAAACAATTTTGATTGCGTATAACTTTTTAATGTATGGTCCTATTTTAAAAATGTCTTCTACTATCTATTTCGATAGGTATAAATATACACAATAAAATTGCATTTATACTTCTCGAAAATCTGTGAGGCACCGTAAAAGCTGCCCCACATCCAGCGAGTAAATTTAGAATATAAGCATACAAAGACATATTGGTAAATAATAAGGAAAACTAGTACTAAGTTAGGATAGGCCACGGAGGCAGGCAAGAAGCCAAAAGAGTCGTTAAGTTCAAAACTTCGGCCGTTAGCGAGTAGTTCAAACAGGCGTTATTTAGTGTATTAATCGACCGTTAGCCAGTAGGCGTTATTTAGGGCCGTTTTCTCGTCCGTCCTGCAAAGTAAAATTTAGCTAATAGAAGGATAAATTTATCCCGGTGGCAAATCAGTTTTCGTTTTCTCGTCCGTCATTTAAAACTCCAAATAAAAGGCGCACTAATTTGAGACTGGGTGGCAGCCCCACAATAGAAGAGTTAACTAATTGTCAACAATTAATCGAAAAACTATCGAAAAATACCATAAAACAGTCATACTAACAGCTGATGATATAAACAAAATTTCAAACTAATAAAAAACAATGTCGGCAGAAAGAAAGTTTCGCGGTAAATATTATACCGATGAACAGGACACAATTCTTGTAGAACTGGTGTCTTCGGAATCGCCTCCGGGAGATTGAATTCTTACATGCGTGCAATCTATGGCAATCTATGTCCTATCTTGGACTTTCGAAAACTTGGCTATTTTTTAAAAATCAACAACATTTTCTTGAAGATCTTTAATACGCCGGTACTTCATAAATTGTTTTGAAAAAGACGCTATAGCAAAATTAACGCCTTAACAACTCGACTGTCAGTGGCCACGCTAACACCACAAAAATTGCCTACAGTTATACGAAAACTTCCGCTTGCGTAGAATCTAAGAGCTATTAGAAGCTTAACCCATGTATTATCGTTTCCCGATAATAATGGTTTGTGATTATATGGAATTAGTTAAATCAAATGAATGCACTTACTGCTTTACTTTAAATTCAAGGTGCAAAACATTTTTTTGTAAAACAAATTTTACCGCTTTTTCTTAAGAGAACCCTTTTAACAAATTCTTCATCACTGTAATGTTCGAAGTAATTTCTTTGGTCGTGATATCTGCGCCGATAGGTTCGCACTTCAGACTTCACTTCAGAGTTTGAAGATAAATCGCTCGGGAATTCATTTTAAAATCAATTGGATGACATTAACAATTTTGATTTGTATTTAACTGTAAATAGAATCACCTGTTTTCGAATGAAGAGTGGAACCAGATTGACAACGCTCAAATGTCTGGCAACACTTGCGCACAATCCAACCGCACAAATTTTGCACGTTGGATGAAGTACCGAGTCAAAATTTGTCCCTACCTGCGCTAACATAAGGACGAGTAAACCATTTTTTGTTTATCGCTCCGTTGTCCCGGCAGGCAAACTAAAGTACGGACGAGAAAACGGCTCTTAGGGTATTAAACGGCCGTTAGCCGGTAGTTCAAACAGGCGCTATTTAGCGTGCTAATTGGGATCTCAGCTGATGAGGCGCTCAACTCAGGTTAGGCGGCCTACACACGATCGGATTAGGCGACCCACGCACGTTTCCAGTGTTGAGAAGCGAGGGCCCGGCTGGCTATAAAAGCCCGTCGGCCGCCAGTCCCAGCTCTCTTTCATTCGCCGCAAGTAGAAGTCTAAGCATCGCGGTAGAGAACCACGCAAGGACACCAAGGATCAGGACGAATGACCCTAGTGAGTAGAGTGCAAGAGAGATAGGGACAGGGAAAGAAAATAGTGCGGCTAAGGAAAAGGTACATATATGTAAAAGAGGAAGAAAAGCCCAAACAAGAGAACCAAGAAACTAAAATAAAACCACGGACAGTAAGAACAGCAAAAACCTTCGCCGAGTTGGGTTGATTTCTCCCTGACCCTCAAAGCCCTGATCCGCGTTTGCTAAAACAGTGGCCTAAGCCAAGCCGGTTGCGTTTTCGAGAAGATTCCTCTGCGCAACTGGACTTTGGTGGCAGCCACGTGCACAGATGTGAAGGCGTGCAAGTACGGGTTTTCTCTCTCCGCTTGTATAGTTTTCCGTCTCGGTTTCGACCGACGCACCCCACCCCGAACAGTGGGAGCCTATACCAGAACTGGGAGCTCTGACTTCTGTCCACGTTTAGAGACGATTCCTCTGCGTGGCCGTGAAACAGCGCCCCAGGCGGCGGGAGTTGACACAGGTACAGGCCTAGACCTTTATAGAATATATATACTTTATGGGGTCAGAAACGCTTCAGAAACGCTTCATTCTAGCTGTCAAATACTTTTGAACGAATACAATATACCCTTTTACTCTACGAGTAACGAGTATAAAAATTGCTTAAATGCCCTTTTACATAATTGCATTTAAGGTTCCATCATAATTTGAGTCAATCAAAGCCTATGAGCCATTGAAGTAATTTGTTCACCTCTATTCCCACCAAACTTGATGCGGTGAACAGAAGTGTTGGGTTGCTCATCAGTGAGTGAAAAAAAAAGAGTTGCTCACTAAACTGAGTGAGAGAACATGTTCCTTCGAACTTGTTCTTTATTCTTCACTTGTTCATTTTTGCTCACTTGCTCCTTTTTGTTCACTTGCTCAGTTTTGCTCTCTTACTTGCTCTTTTTTGTTCACTTGTGCAGTTTGGCTCTCTTATTTGATCTTTTTAGTTCACTTCCTCAGTTGCCCTCTTGCTGTTTGTGGCACAGAAAGTATTTTTTTTACTTTTAGGGTGCATTTTGCATACGGTTTTACAGACAATGAGCTGTTTTCTCAGATCCAGTGAAAAAGTTAAGGACAGAACCAGTGAGCAAGTGAACAAGTGCGCAAGTGAGCAAACTGAGTAATTTGAGTCATTGGGAAAAAAAAGAACAAGTGAACATGTTCACCAAAATGAGCAGTTTTTACCCAACACTAGTATTTAATTCTAAGCCCTCTGTTTAAAATGTTGTTATTTTTGGATTCATGCCTTTCATTCATTCATTCGATTCTATAAAACTAAAAATTTAAATTGATTTATTCACATTTAGGAAAGAAATTTAAAATAATTCATTGAATCCATTTACGTAACAGTGCACAGTGTAAGATTTTGCCAATCTAGGGGGACTTAAATCAGTAGGAGTCGTATTTTTAAAGATATCGGCTTCAAATTAGGAGTGAATATTCTAGTAAGCCCAAAGATTATGTTGAACATTAAAAATGGGCGTAGCACTTTTGAGAGCGTTAAAAATTTAAAAAAAACTGTTTTTTTTAAAGATCAAAGCCCCAACAAAAATTACAAAAAAAATTTTGAAACTTTTAACTATTTTCGTATTTTTTGTTATAATTTTCGCCAACTAAAAAAATTTTGTTTTTAATTTGTGGAGGCCACTTTTTTTTTATACCCTTGCAGAGGGTATTATAATTTTGGTCAGAAGTTTGTAACGCAGTGAAGGAGACGTTTCCGACCCCATAAAGTATATATATTCTTGATCAGGATCAATAGGGGAGTCGATATAGCCATGTCCGTCTGTCCGTCTGTCCGTCTGTATGTCTGTTTCAATACCGTTTGCGACTTCAGTTTAAAAGCTAGCGCCTTGAAACTTTCACAGTCGTCCTAAAACATGTGTACGCAGATCAACTTTGAAAGCCGACCCGATCGGACGTCTATATCCTATAGCTCCCATAGGAACAATCGTATATAGCTTTCACAAAAATGAAGATATTTCGCTCAGTGTAAG